TTACTAACGATGGAAAATTGGGGGAAGAGATCGCCCGGCGAATTGGAGTAGCCAAAGGTGTTCTGCGTGAACTATCCGCACCCATTTTGACTAATGCAGAGTTCAGTCTGAAAACTAAGCTCTAGGTGTTTAAGTCGATCTTTATCCCCATTCCTTACTACAGTCATGAATCGTAGACCATCAGTGAAAAACTTCGAACCCGGGTACAAGCTGCTGTGATGGGCTTTCTTAGACGAGTCGCTGGCCTTACGCGTCTCGACATGGTCCTGAATATTGATATCCGGAAGAGCCTTGGTATACAGTCTTTGCTTCTCCAGATTGGGAAGTTACAGCTGCTATGGCTTGGGCATGTGTTGCGAATGCCTCCAGAAAGGAAGGCTAAGCAACTGTTCCTTACAAATCCGACCGGTAGATGGTCCAGGGGACGGCCAAGATTTACCTGTGCGGAATCTGTTCAAGACTCTAGTTGCTTTCTGCCGGAGCTCAGACTCTGGCACAGGATCTGGAAGCTGTTTGACGCGTCTGCCTTCGCGACCCGAAAGGGGAAGCGGCCATGAAAGACAGAGGATCGAGTAGTACTCGAATGTCAATATCTTGCTCTTGACTTGTGCAGCTCAATTGTTCTATATTATGCGAAATAAACGTACGAATACATGCCTTTGTTATTCCGGCTGAGCGGCAATGTAGCCGATAAAATATAACACATGCAGTGAATGAATTCGAAATCACATCACTGCTGATTTAGCAGGTTCAGTTTTGTTACAATGAGAATTATAGTAGACAAAGTTTTACGTTATTTTTAAACTCGTGCTTGCGACCCCATCGCAAGACGTCTCAACACAAACTGAGCAATTTTGTAATTGCGTTAAGTGATTAACTTGATAATCTCAGGGCTTACAACTGAGATGCAAAGAGTACAATAAATTAAGAAACTGTCGAACGGATAACCTATAAAATAACTAATCGACAAGACGGCCCTGTTAGTATTCGATCATGCCATTCAAACTTTACAATTTCAAACTGCCGTACAATTTACATGCATTTGTTCAAAGTTTAAGTATGGTCAAAAACAGAGTAATAAAAATATCATATATCAATTGTTTTGACCACTGGTAACGATAGCTGACAAAGGCGTGCAACGAGACCAGACAGCTGAATGAACGATCCAGCACCCTCTGATATGCGCAAATGAGTCAGGGCGATTTCCTAAATCAATCAAAATTAAAATCTCTTACTGTTACATAACAAGAACGAATACAACTTTCAATCAGACACTTCTGAATGACATTAAGTGAAACATACGAGAAGTTGAAAAGATCAAAAAAGAGTGTACAACTACGCCCAGTTAATACCTTGAGACCTCAGCAACTATCTAGCGTACTTCTTTAATGAGCGAGGAGACAGTGGAACCTTATCTGACGTGCCATGATCGCATCGCGCTGTCGGTTTCCATTCAGAACGGGTAGCGACTCTACTGCTGACTGGTATCTTAGTCATCTACGCGTAGCTCATCGACAGCGGTCACCGTGCTGCCACACACCCAGCTGCCAGAAGGAGTGAAAAAAAATTTAATCGCCGAAATTTCATAGTCTGACTCAGTTCTCCAACAGCGATCCTTGGTAACCTGGGTGAAGATCGAGAAGGTATAACGTTCGATAACGGCAATACAACGAGGGCAGGGGGCAAAGTTAAACGGGGGACTTCGCCACGGTCTCCGTTCATAATCATTTTTGATCCGGGATTGGGACGCACAACAACGGAGTTGCAGATAACAGATAATCGAATAGTGGAGTTGATGAGAATTTTTGTATATCTCGACGCGCTTATAAGGTGGGAACGATAAAAGACATTTATAAAAGCACAAAAGGAGGTCGATTTTTGGGCAAAACTGAGCGACCAGCGAGTAGAATCTCCTGATGATGTTTGAAGAGGCAGATAATGCTCAAAAATTTTCAAGGGCAATTTAGTGATTATTCTGGTAGATATAAAGTTTATTTATTATATCAAGCTAGCATATGGCATCTGCCTAGCATGTACTACAACCATTCTACCAGTTTAGCATACGACAGCGCAGCAATCCTTTTGGAGAAGAAAGAGCAAGTACCTTTCATAGTTAATTAATAAACACTGTTTCAACTAGTTTATTCGCGTGCTATGGACAATTATATGCAGAAGGTATGGGTTAGATTCCAGACATGTAAAATTATTATTAATACAGTGAAATAGATATTTAATTTTCTTATGTCTACTGAAAAGTAGCACCAAATATGAATTTTTTTCTTACATCCATACAAAAGTTTCTTCTCAGTCCTGATCCCAACTTAGTGAAAACTTCCATTGAGTGAAAAACAACTTTCTCA